GTGTGTGTGCCTGTGTGTATACATAATTATATGTATACTTTACATATGAATATGCATGCATATATGTATATATATATATATATATATATATATATATATATATATATATATATATATATATATATATCTTATATATATGTGTGTGTGTATATATACATACATATATGTATGTATATATATGTATGTATCTATATTTGTGTTCATTCATATATGGAAGAAAGAGGATCTGCCATTACTGTTGTTCTTAACTATTTCTTATATGTCTAGGGAGTTAGAGTTCTTGAGTCAAAAAGGATCAGATAAAACCCTTTTATCCTAAGCCATTAATGGTAAGTAGCTATAAATATATTACGCTGCTTAATGTGGGAGTCTTGGCAATGGTATTCTGTATCTTGGCCAGATGCAAGCAACATATAAAAGAGGATAAGTTCGGCGTCCGCCCCAGTGGGAAGAGGGGTGCGGAGTGCTTGGTGGCGGTTCCGAATACGAAGTAAGTCTTTGGCGACCTCAAGACAGTGACATCGGGGCGAGTGGATGCTAACAGCGTGTGGCTATTCGTTGTGAAATGTTGGCTCCAGTAAAAAGTCTAATCAGTTCATTGTTTATAACTAATGTGTAGTATAGCAGAAGATGGAAGTGAGGCATCTGTGATAATCGCGGGATTCTGTTCAATGACGGAGTAGCTAAATGTGAGACAGTGCATGTGACTCTACGGTAATGCGTGTATGCATTTGCATTATTATATTTTTGTGTGCGTGTGTGTGTGTGTGTGTGTGTGTGTGTGTGTGTGTGTGTGTGTGTGTGTGTGTGTGTGTGTGCGCGCGCGCACGGCAAGCATGTCTGCACCCCGGATCCTAAAAGCACACAAAGCAGGTGCGTGAAATGAACCTGACTAATTTCAGAGACAATTTTAGACCATGCTGGATGTATATTTGTGATGTACCTTAACAAGGTCAGTATTGAGTATTGGCTGAGATCATAAGCCTGATAAACCTTTTACTTATAAAAGAAAATTAAGTGAGACGCTATAATGTGCTTTAGGTATGACAATTTAATCTCTCCATTAGTCATGGAAATTCAATCTGCTATTGGTGTGGGATATTACTCGTAATTTAAGGTATGTCCTAAGTAAATAGAACAATTAAAAGAACCTTTACTCAGTACCTACTTCCGGGTGGCTACTTAAACAAATTCTTATACTTAACACTCTAGTAAAAGTTGCTATGGGAATCTGAGGATGTAAACGCATTACTTAAGCCTTAATGCCTTTGAACAAGCTTGTCTAGGATCGCAAGTGAAGGGCATCTCAATTAAAGCGAATTCATTCTCTCCGCTAGTCTATGGTACATCTTTGGGCAAGGTGGAGCACCAGCTACTAGCAAGGCAGTGGTTTCATCAAGTGGTATAAATTGGTGCATCTGGTAATTTTGGCTTATTCTTGTCTTTAGATAGAACTGCGAACAAAAAAAAAAGTTTCTTTGTTTATGTTTTGCATCTGACGATATTCATCACTCAATGGCTTGCAAGAAAGGCCATAGCTGCTCAGCAAGATGGATTATCTGTAATATAATGATAATATTGGCATCTTTCGATTAATGAAATATTTTGTGTGAAACGATTATCGGGTTTTACAAGAAATTAATTTAATTTTGCAATTAATTTCATTATGTTCTGTAACTCCTTCTTGTAATCAAATTATTTAGAAAGGTCTTTAGTCTCTTGTCGCTTTAAAAAGAAAGCATGACGAGGAGCGTGAACAGAAATCAAGCTTTCTGTAAATACTAGGCTTGTACAGTGTCTTATAGTTATCTCAAAGACTGCAAGTAATAAGTTGTGAGATTCTGTTACGAAAGATATATACGAAATTGTAAAATGCAGTCAAGCTAAAGAGTCCGTTTGTATGAATGAAAGTTTGTGTATATACGATTGTGTGTGTGATTGTAAGAACATGTGTGTGTGTCTGTGGATAGATAGATACAAAAATAGATAGATATGTATTCATACACACACACGCACATGTATATGTGTGTGTGTGTGTGTGTGATATATATATATATATAATTATATATACATATATATATATATATATATATATATATATATATATATATATATATATATATACATATATATACATATATATTTGTATGCATAAATGTGTATGTATATACATACATAGATACGTGTGTGTGCGTGTGCGTGTCTGTGTAAAATACATATATATGTATATATACATATGTATATACATATATACACATACATATATATTCATATATATATATATATATATATATATATATATATATATATATATATATACATGTATGTTATTATATATACATATGTATGCACATACAGAACTTACATATATACATGTCTGAATATATGAGTGTGCATTGATATACATACATACACACCACACACACACATACACACACACACACAGACACACATATATATATGTATATATATATATATATATATATATATATATATATATATATATATGTACGCGTTTGTGTATGTGCTTGAGTATACATCTACATATGTGTGTGTGTGTGTGTGTGTTTGTGTATTTTATACATGTGCGTATATACGCTTATATATATGTATATATATCTATGTATATGTGCATATTTGTGTGTGTGTGTTTATACTTACATACATGTGTGTATGTGTGTGTTTGCGAGTGTGTATATGTGTGTATATGTGTGTGTGTGTGTGTGTGTGTGTGTGTATGTGTGTGTGTATGTGTATGAATAGGTATATATATGTTTGTGTGTGTATGTGTGTGTGTGTGTGTGTAAATATATATATTTATATATACTGCCTATATATATATATATATATATATATATATATATATATATATATATATATACGTGTGTGTGTATCTATATACATATATGTAATGTGTATGTGCATATATGTATTGTATAGATATATATGTATATATATGCATATATATACATATTTTTTTTATAAATGCACACATACACACATTACTATATCGACAAGCATTGTAGGTGAATATTTTGAAGGTCCAGGCATCTAAGCACATATGAAATAGATATCTTATATTTCACCTTTCTCTCACTCATTTTGCTAAAAATATTCATGAATTAACATCCTGCTCATTTGCTCTTCCAGGTTATAGATCCTAGGTGAATCTATCTTTTGATTCAGTAATCACACCACCACCATGCCTGGCCACGTCAAGAAGAGCACGGGTCCCGACCCCGATCCCTCTGAATACCTCTTCATCTCGCACGAACAGAGGCGTAAAGATCAGTCGAAACCTTATGATCCTAAGAAGTCCTACTGGTGTCCTGATCCTGATGAGGGTTTCGTCGAGAGTGAGCTTCAAGGTGCCAAGGGTGACAAGTTGGTTACAGTTAAGCTTCCTAATGGCGAGATGAAGGACTTCAAGAAGGAGCAGGTTGGACAGGTTAATCCTCCCAAGTATGAGAAGTGTGAGGATGTGTCCAATTTGACTTTCCTTAACGATCCCTCAGTCTTCTACGTCCTCAAGGCCCGTTACCAGGCCAAGCTCATCTACACCTACTCCGGTCTCTTCTGTATCGCCGTCAACCCCTACAAGCGTTACCCCATCTACACCAACCGTGCCGTCAAGATCTACATGGGCAAAAGGCGTAATGAGGTTCCCCCTCATCTCTTCGCCATCTGCGACGGCGCCTATCAGAACATGAGCCAAGGCTTGTATTCTTTGGATTAACTAAAGCTTAGTATGCAATAAGTTTAATCCTCTGAAAATGTATACGTGCCATTATATGTTTACTGACTGAATTTCGATCTTTTGCAGATCGTCAGAACCAGTCTATGCTTATTACGTAGGTTACGATAACAATAGTTAAACTGCAGTCGGATGTCAATATACTGAATAATAGATTTTATATCTGTATAGAAGGCATTGCTGACACATGGTACCACGAAGAATTCATGAAGGATATTCATCAGATAACCCTCCTTTTGACAGCGGTGAGTCAGGTGCTGGTAAGACTGAAAACACAAAGAAGGTGTTGTCTTACTTCGCTAACGTAGGCGCCACCGAAAAGAAAGAAGGCGAGAACAAACAGGTAAGACAGCATGATACTATCGAGGTCTCGTAAATGCGCCCTGAATGACAAAACTATTAGTGAATCATTCACGGTGTGGTATCTGATACAGAACAAAATAAACAACACCTACAATTCGATGTCCCTCTCCTGCAATGCAGAACTTGGAAGACCAGATCATCCAGACCAATCCCATCCTTGAGGCCTATGGTAACGCCAAGACCACCCGTAATGACAACTCATCTCGTTTCGTGAGTACTCCCATTGATCTTCTTTAACTGTATGATAAAATATGAATGTTTAAAGGAATGTGTCCACAGCCTCATTAGCTAAACTAATGATTTTACCACAGGGTAAATTCATCCGCGTTCACTTCGCTCCCAACGGCAAGCTCTCTGGCGCTGACATCGAGGTCTACCTGCTGGAGAAGGCTCGTGTCATCTCCCAGTCCCCTGCCGAGCGAGGCTACCATATCTTCTACCAGCTCATGTGCGACCAAATTGACTACATTAAGAGTAGGTATTTTGCTTTATAATGAGAAGGAAACCAAGGCTGATCATTTTTGAAAAGTAAGATAAACCTAAAAACTACTACTATTCTCCAACAGAAATATGTCTCTTGTCCAACGACATCTACGACTACCATTATGAGTCCCAGGGAAAGGTCACCGTCCCATCCATTGATGACAAAGAGGACATGCAGTTCACTCATGTGTGTACAAAAATATACGATAAGTCTGCATTGCTGAATAAAGGTTTATTGTGCGCTATTTCAGTTCAAATGAAGATATATCTGACATATCCTACTGCAATATGTATCGTTATTAATTTCTTATATATGCACATAGGACGCTTTCGATATCCTAAACTTCTCAAACGAAGAGAGGGACAACTGCTACAGGATCACTGCTTGTGTCATGCACCA